TCTAACACAAGAGCACACATTCCTAGCTGCCATCTTCATACCTAAAGATGGTCTTAGTACAGGTAAAGGTTTCCCTTTGACATTAAGTCTAATCCTGTCCAACTCTGAGGGGTGGTGCTCATCTCCATTTCTAAGCTGAAGGGCCTGTGTTGTCCGTAGACACCTCAAAGGTCATGTGGCTGGCATAACTGCATGGAATGCTGTACCTTCCTGCCAGAGCAGTACCAACTGATCTACTCACATTTGCATGTTTTCAGAATGCTAGGTTGGCAGAAGCTGAGGTTAAGAGAGGGAGCTCACCCCGCTCTCTGGATTTGAACCGCTGACCTTTAACTCAGCAAGTTCTGCAGCTCAGTGGTTTATCCCAGTGTGCCGCCGTCGGCTCCATAAGCTGTTATTAGGATTGCACAATATAAAACCAAAGGCTATTAAATATATGTAGCACATCAGATTGTGTTTTCTAACCATTAAAAATCTTGGATTGTTTTAAACTAATTCCAAACAGCTTCAGGCCTTTTCCTGTTTTCCCTCAGCCGCTTAAGCGGAAATGGAAAAGAAAAGGAAAGGTCCTGAGGTTATTAGGAATGGTGGGAGATGAAGTCCAAAACACCTGGAGGGCCAAAGGCTGCTAGGAATTGTAGGCTTACGCAGCTACACCTGGAGGGCCCAAGTTTTCCCATGCATGCATTAACCCTTTAGAAATTTAGAAATTGCTGTTCACGCTTCTTCCAGACTTCTGGCATATTGGTACAATCTACAGCAAACCCCTGAATACAAGCAACCATCCACAAAACAATTTTCGATCTGTAGAAATATGCTAATTGGAATGAAGAAAAATGCAAAACATGTTTCTATTTCATGCAGATTTAATATATCTTTAGTAAAGAAAACATTTTAAGGGTTCTAGTTCCACATAAGGAAGGAAGAATAGAAGGAGAGGGAAAAGTACCTTGTGTAGATAGGTAGGTAGGTAGGTAGATAAGTAAGAGGCAGTCAGGCAAGCAAGCAAAGGGATCTTGTACCATCAAAGGGAGGGAGGGAGAAAGGAAGGATACTCTTTGGAAGAGACCATCCAGTCCAAACCCCCTGCCAAGAAGCAGGAAAATTGCATTCAAAGCACCCCGGACACATGGCCTTTCAGCCTCTGTTTAAAAGCCTCCAAAGAAGGAGCCTCCACCACACTCTGAGGCAGAGAGTTCCACTGATGAACAGCTCTCATGTTCAGGTGGAACCTCCTTTCCTGTAGTTTGAAGCCATTGCTCAGTGCCCTAGTCTCCAAGGCAGCTGAAAACAAGCTTGCTCCCTCCTCCCTATGACTTCCCCTCACATATTTATACATGGTCATCATGTCTCCTCTCAGCTCTCTTTAGATATGACACTATCCTTTGTGTCTAGTCTGGAAAAAGGGGATCCATCCTGAAAATGTGTTTACTCCAGTAAATGGAAAGAGGGGCATGGAAAATTATGGCCCAGAGAATAGGTGAGGTAGTGATTCATCGGTACTTACACGAAATTTGGCATTGGCTGAGAGTATGTGTGTACTTAGTACACTGACATACAGGTGAAAACAGGAGAAATGCCATTAAAATCTCTGTAACAAAGCAATGAAGATGATGACCTAGAGAGGCAATCCCTGTGAGGCTGCAGGTGAGAATGCATGAGAACACATATCCCCTGGGGCTGGGGAAAGGTGAGGGACAATTTCCCAGAATCAAGAGCCAAATAATCAGAATAAAGGGGTAGAATGAATCCTGGAGAGTGAATAGAGAGGGGATGTTGTCCTAAGTCAGTGTTTCTCAACCTAGAGGTCGGGACCCCAGGGGGGTATCAGAGGGGTCACCAAAGACCATCAGAAAACACAGATTTTTCTGTGGGTCATGAGGTTCTGTGTAAGAAGTTTGGCTCAATTCTATCATTGGTGAGGTTCAGAATGCTCTTTGATTGTAGGTGAACTATAAATCCCAGCAACTACAACTCCCAAATGCCAAGGTCCATTTTCCCCAAATTCCACCAGTGTTCACATATGGGCATGTTGAGTATTCGTGACATGTTTGGTCCAGATCCATCATTGTTTGAGTCCACGTTGCTCTCTGGATGCAGGTGAACTACAACTCCAAAACTCAACAGCAATGCCCAACAAACCCTTCCAGTATTTTCTGTTGATCATGGGAGTTCTGTATGCCAAGATTGGTTCAATTCCATCGTTGGCAGGGTTCAGAATGCTCTTTGATGGTAGGTGAACTATCAATCCCAGCAACTACAATTCCCAAATGACAAAACAATCCCCCCTCCCCCAACCCACCAGTATTCAAATTTGGACATATTGGATATTTGTGCTAAATTTGGTCCAGTGAATGAAGACACATCCTGCATATCCAATACTGACATGACAATTCAGAATAGTAGCAAAATTACAGTTATGAAGTAGCAACAAAAATGTTATTGTTGGGGGTCACCACGACATGAGGAACTGTATTAAGGCAGTGTTTCTCAACCTGGGGGTCGGGACCCTTGAGGGGGTCGCGAGGGGGTGTCAGAGGGGTCGCCAAAGACCATAAGAAAACATAGTATTTTCTGATGGTCATGGGGATTCCATGTGGGAAGTTTGAGCCAATTCTATCGTTGGTGGAGTTCAGAATGTTCTTTGATTGTAATGAACTACAAATCCCAGCAACTACAACTCCCAAATGTCAAGATCTATTTTCCCCCAGACTCCACCAGTATTCACATTTGGGCATATTGAGTATTCATGCCAAGTTTGGTCCATTGCATGAGTCCACAGCGCTCTCTGGATATAGGTGAACTACAACTCCCAAACTCAAGGTCAATGCCCATCAAACCCTTCCAGTGCTTTCCATTGGTCATGGGAGCCAAGATTGGTTCAAATCCATCCCTGGTGGAGTTCGGAATGCTCTTTGATTATAAGTGAACTACAAATCCCAGCAATGACAACTCCCAAATGACAAAATCAATCCTCCCCCAACGCCACTAGCATTCACATTTGGGCGTATTGGGAGTTTGTGCCCAGTTTGGTCCAGTGAATGAAAATGCATCCTGCATGTCAGATATTTACATTATGATTTATAACAAGAATAAAATGACTGTTATGAAGTAGCAACGAAAACAATATTATGGTTGGGGGTCACCACAACATGAGGAACTGCATTAAGGGGTCGCAACATTCAGAAGGTTGAGAATCACTGGTATTAAGGGGTTGCGGTATTAGGAAGGTTGAGAAACACAGTCCGAAGGGCTGAGAAGGGGGATGTCTAATGGGAGAGGAGGTTAACTGGGGGCCACGATTAGGGTTGGCATCTTGCTGGGTATAAATAGGCTGGGTATAAATAGGCTTTCCTACCAGGTCCAGAACAGCTCAGGGAATATATATATATATATATATATATATATATATATACACACACACACGCACGCACGCATGCACGCGCGCGCTAAAGGGCAGAATAAATGAATGCTAAAGGAGAATTTGGAAGAAGAGGGGGTGATGTCTTACAAAATTGAGAAGAGGGTCTATCACAGACATCGGCAAAGTTGGGCCCTCTAGGTGCTTTGGACTCCAACTCCCACTATTCCTAACAGCCTCAGGCCCTCCCCACCAACCCCCCAGCCGCTTAAGCATATGGTGGATCATGTATGTTGGGCTTAGGCCATTCTTTTATTTATTCATTCATTCATTCATTCATTCATTCATTCATTCATTCCCTGGCTTTCTCTACCTCAAAAGGGACTCAAGGCAGCTTGCATATAGGCAATTATTCAATTGCCTCAGCAAGCATGAGTCCAAAAGTGGCAGGCTAAAACCGGGAACATCAATCCAGGGCTGTAGCCGGGGGGGGGAGGGTTATGGGGGGGATTAAGAGTTCAAACCCCCCAGAAAGGGTTCAATCCCACCCCCCGAAACCTGGTTTACTCATGAATTTTAACTGATTTATGAGAAAACCAGGTTTTTGACACATTTCAGAGCATGGTTGCATTTTTAAACCCTCCTCTGCTTATGGCCCTGCCTCAAGCCATGGCTGATACCAAATGAGAGACCTCCCCCCCCCCCCCCCCCCCCCCCCCCAACCCCGCACCCAGAAGCCTGGGCAACTTGGAAGGTGCTGAACAGACTGTGCTTTGGCACCACAAGATGCAGAGCCAAACTTAAGAAATGGGGCCACAAAGTGGAGTCCACGACATGCGAGTGAGGAGAAGAGCAAACCACAGACTACCTATTACAATGCAGTCTGAGCCCTGCCACATGCACAATGGAGGACCTTCTTACAGTAACACCAGAGGCACCTCAAGTGGCTGAGGGAGAAACGGAAGGGGCCTGAGGCTGTTAGGAATGGTGGGAGTTGGAGTCCAAAACACCTGGAGAGAAGGCCCATGTTTGCCCATACCTGCTCTATTAGGAGGGGAGGTTAACTGGAGGAGAGGGTCACGACTGGGTATAAATAGATGGAATAACCTGAGGCTATCCTATTACTCTGGACTGAAGATGGGAATGAGCTTCAGGAAAGCTGGTCAAAAATTATACACACACATCTGTACAAACATACATCCATATCTATCTATCAACCTATCTGTGTGTGTGTGTTCTAGGTGCTGATCTATCTATCTGTGTGTGTGTGATGAAGGTTCTTCGTTCCCTTCTTTTCCTTTCTGAAGGAGAGAAAGGAGCTGCGGTGGGTTGAGTGGCACTCAAGGGAGATGGGGATTTTTTGGTGGGGCGCAATGGGAAGAAGGGAATGCAGAAGAGGCTTTTGGGTTGTGTGCGGGGTCATTTGGAGCAATGGGAGGACTGGGATGCGGAGGAGGCGTTGGGGTTTGTTTTTGTTTGGGGGGGATGTCTGGAAAGGCAGGAGGCCGGAGAAATAGGAGGATGTGATTTGGGGGGGGGGGGCACCAGTGCGCACTGGATAAACCGAGGTCCCTGGGGCGAGGAAGAGGGGGTTGTGGGGGGACCTTGAGAGCTGGGCTGGCGGGAGAGAGTCGCCTACCTGTCCCGGGCAAAGAGGTCCGCAGGCACGGGAGGATGGCGCTGACTCCCTCCCCGCCGTCCCTTCTCCTCCTTCTCCTCCTCCGTCTCCTTCTGCCGGAGTCCGGCCCGGGAGCAAGGAGGCAGCCCACAGCGTCGCTCGCCGGCAGGAGGACCCGGGCAAGGAGGACAGCTCCCTGCATCAGCCCCGCTTCCACCACCAAATCCACCACCAAATCAAGATTTCCCTATTGCCATGAGACAGGCTTACTTTCCGCGCATTTCACCCCTTCTTTCCTGCCTTTGCGTGGCAGGAAACCAAATCCTCGCCACGCAGATCACGCCTGGAAGCAAAGGCACTATCTGGCATGATGCTGGGTCATATATAGTGGGCTTACTGCCATTCTTTTATTTATTTATTTGCTATATTCATACCCCGCCTTTCTCTACCACTAAAAGAGACTCAAAGCAGCTTGCATATAGGCAATTATTCCATTGCCTCAGCAAGCAAGAGTCCAAAGGTGGCAGGCTAAAACTAGGAACCTCAATCCAGGGCTGTAGTCAGAGGGGAGGGGGCTCTAGGGGGAGATTTAAGGATTCAACCCCCCAAAAAAGGGTTCAACCTCACCTCCACCCCAAAACCTGTCATGAATTTTAACCAATTTATTTCAGGGTGGGGTTGATTTTTTTTTTTACATCCTCTAGCTACGACCCTGCCTCAAGCCATGGCTGATACCGAGTGAGAGACCCCCTCCTCCCCCCATCTCAACCCCCACCTCTTCCCCAGGCACACAGAAGACTGAGTAACTTGGAAGACGCGCTCTGGCACCACGAGATGCAGAGCCGACCTTAAGAAATGAGGCTACAAAGTGGAGTCCAGGACATGCCAGTGTGGAGAAGGGCAACCCACAGACCACCTACTGCAATGCTGCTGGGCCATGTATAGTGGGCTTACTGCCATTCTTTTATTTATTTATTTATTTATTTATTGGCTCTATTTATACCCAGGCTTTCTCTACCACCAAAAGGGACTCAAGGTGGATTGCATATAGGCAATTAGTCAATTGCCTCAGCAAGCAAGAGTCCAAAATTGGCAGGCTAAACCTGGAACATCAATTGATTGCTGTAGCCGGGAGGGGTTTAAGGGTTCAAATCCCCTAAAAAGGTTCAACCCCATACTCCCTACCCCCCCCCCCCCCAAATTTGGTTTACTCATGAATTTTAACTGGTTACCCGTTTTATGAGGAAACCAGATTTCTGACACATTTCAGAGTGGGGTTGAATTTTTAAACCCCCCTCTGCTTATGACCCTGCCTCAAGCCATGGCTGATACTGAATGAGACACACACACACACACACCGGCACACAGAAGACTGGGCAACTTGGAAGGCACTAAATGAACTGGGCTCTAGCAGCACAAGATGCAGAGCCAACCTTAAAAAATGGAGCCACAAAGTGGAGTCAAGGACATGTGAGTGTGGAGAAAAGCAAACCATAGACCATCTATTGCAATGCATTCTGAACTCTGCCACATGCACACTGGAGGACCTTCTTGTAGCAACACTAAAGGCACTCCCAAGTGGCCAGCTACTGCTCAAGGACATTTAACACAATGCCAAGTTTTTAAACTTTGTGTTTTTAAAATACATTATAACTGTACCCTCGGTTTGCTTCTGATAAAAGGTAAAGGATTTCCCTTGGCATTAAGTCAAGTCGTGCCCGACTCTGGGGGTTGCTGCTCATCTCAATTTCTAAACCGAAGAGCCGGCATTGTCCGTAGATACCTCCAAGGTCATGTGGTTGGCATAACTGCATGGAGTGCCATTACCTTCCCAATGAAGCAGTACCTATTGATCTACTCACATTTACCTGTTTTCGAACTGCTAGGTTGGCAGAAGCTGGGCCTAACAGCAGGAGCTCACCCCGCTCCCTGGATTCAAACCGGCGACCTTTCAATCAGCAAATTCATCAGCTCAGCAGTTTAATCCATAATACGACAAATAAATAAATAAATACCATTAAAACACATACAATTCCAATAAAATTAAATTAAATTCAAATTCATCCACATTAAGCTTTTAAAAACATTTCATTCTATACTAAAATCACGCCTCCATAATCGTAGTCCAAGCTGTTCCATAGTCATTGAACATATTCCAAATTTGTTATTGCACTGTACTGTTCTCCGAAATCTTGATCCCAAAGCTAAGTTTTTACTTCCCTTCTGAAGGCTAAGTGGGAGGGGACTGATCCAATTTTGCTGGGGAGGGAGTTCCACAGCCGAGGTGCCACCACTGAGAAGGCCCTGTCTCTCGTCCCCACCAGTCGCGCCTGCAAGGAAGAGGGGACAGAGAGCAGGGCCTCCCCAGAGGATCTCAATCTTGGAGATGGTTCATAAGGGGAGATACATTTGGACATTTAAAAAGGGTCATGCCCTGTGCATTCTTCTCCCCCCTACTATTACCAGGTTGTGGTCAGAGAGTACATGTCCTGAGCCCCCAGTATCTGCTGAGGTTTGTTTCCAGAACTGGAGACCCGAACCTGTGGATGCTCAAGTCCCATTATGTACAGTGGTCTTCTATATACAAAATGGTAAAAAAAGTTTGCTTTCTGTACCTCACAACCTCTGAGGATGCCTGGCATAGATGCAGGTGAAATGTCAGGAGAGAATGCTTCTAGAACATATCCATATAACCCAAAAAACCTACAACAACCCAGTGATTCCGGCCATGAAAGCCTACGACAATACATTAACCTATTCAGTGTCGTAAAGCTCTAAAGCCACTAGGCGGCGCTGCATGACAGCCCAAGGGGGACAGATGGGGCCTTCAAGCTTAAAGGTTAAGGCTTACAGGTTGAATATCCCTTCTCCAAAATGCTTGGATTTCCTTGTCTCTCCCTCCCCCTCCTCCCACCGATTTTGGAATATCTGTGTTCGGACATATATCTGTGTTTGGGGCACAAGTCTAATTCCAAAATTCATTCAGGTTTCATATATTCCATGCACATAGCCTGAAGGTAATTTTATACACAATATTTTAAAATAATTTTGCTTGTGTACACTGAACCATTGCAAAGCAGAGGACTGTCACCATCTCAGCTACTCATGCAGATAAGTGTGGATTTTGGAGCATTTCAGGTTTCACGATTTCTGATAAGGAATGCTTAACCCTGTACCACTTTGTAATTTGACTACTGCAAGAAAGGCAGTTAAATGGACCCAGAGGTTTTTCTCCTTTTGTACATTACATTGTACAAAATGTAATGTATAATTATGGCGCTCCATGAAGTCATGCTGGCCACATGACCTTGAAGATGTCTATGGACAATGCCGGCTCTTCAGCTTAGAAATTGAGATGAGCACCAACCCCCAGAGTTTGTCACGACTGGACTTAATGTCAGAGGAAAACCTTTACCTTTTACTTACATTAAATTGAGCATAATCTTCAGGATATAGGGCTTAATTTTAGCCAAGGTTCAGCCTCAGAACCTATATTTGAATGTCAGAATTCAATCCTTAGGCGAGATCAAATTATGGAATAATTTTGAAGCACTCTTAACTGGAGGTCAGCTGTGACCAGCAGTGCTGTGGAATTTGAAGAGGCAAAAATGGAGGACAAAAGGGAGAAATGTGCCAAGAGTAAAGCACGTCAAGCCAACCCTGACCGGGACCGCCTTCCACCTGGAAACCAATGCCCTCACTGTAGAATAATATGTGGGTCATTATTAAGGCTCCACGGCTACCTACGTATCAACCACCAGGACACTACACTTGGAAGGTCATCATACTTGGAGGGAAGCCCCCCCCCCCCCTCCGGTGGCACAGTGGGTTAAACCCTTGTGCTGGCAGGACTGAAGACCAACAGGTTGGGGGTTCGAATCCGGGGAGAGCATGGATGAGCTCCCTCTGTCAGCTCCAGTTCCCCATGCAAGGACATGAGAGAAGCCACTCACAAGGATGGTAAAATATCAAAACATCCAGGCATCCCCTCGGCAACATCCTTGCAGACAGCCAATTCTCTCACTCCAGAAGTGACTTGCAGTTTCTCAAGTCGCTCCTGACACACACAAAAAAATCATACTCGGACAATGAGGGATCACTTAATACAATATTGAAGTGCCACTGAGCATGTGAAGAATAGCTTTCAGTCATGTCATTAAGATACAAGGATAGGGGGTGTTCCACATCCCTAGTTTCAGATCTGGACCTATCACTAAGCACCCTCCAATATACTACAGGCAGTCCCCAAGTTACAAAAAACCTGACCATAGTTAAAAATGGGGATGAGATAACAGGAAGTGAGAAAAATCTACCGCTAGGAGGAAAATTCACCCCTGGAAGCATTATCATGGGGAAAAGGCATCTCCACTGAAGCTTCATCGCCAATTCTTATTTCCACAACAAGCCATTTTTTTCCAAATCCAATTGTCACAGTAATATTAAATGAGGTGCAATCTCCTGAACTGGGGCTCAGACAGCAAAACAAATGTCACAGGGGTGTTAGTCCTTCCCTATGCTATCCAAAGCTTTGGCTGGGTTTCCACTTTCAAATGTACTGTTCCAACTTACATACAAATTCAACTTAAGAGCAAGCCTACAGAACCGATCTTGTTCATAACTTGGTGACTGCCTGTATTCTCAAAAGGAATTCAATTCTTGATAGGAAACAAAGTTCCCTATTGCTCTTCTATATATGAACTCTCAGCTAAAGGCTCCCCATAGTAGATGGCTTCTTTTCACAGGACAACATTGATCTAACATGTTGGTTAAGTGGATCCATAATTTCTTAACAATTAATAAGTCCTGCTTGGTGCCTGCAAACTGCATTGCATTTCCATTTAGCGGGTATATAGTGGCTCATTGAGACATATGCTTCTATCACTACCATAACCCAATTCATTCAACAAACATGTTTATGAAGGGAACAATTACAACTATTATCAAATGACAGATGGTATCATTCAACTAATCATCACTGCTGTTTAGGCTCTAAGCTGAACGCAGCACCATCACTTTATCATCTTGACCTTTGTGGGAACAGCTCTGATGCCTTGCATCGAAAAGTGTTTTCGTTGTAATCGGATTGTGCCTGAGGTGGTGATATAAACCCTCAAATTGATGGTGTTTGAAATTGACAGACTGAGGAATATACATGACCGAACTCATTCTGAACTGGCCTTGGAAATAAGGCAGAGGTTGAATTCAAGCACGCATTGCATT